ATTTTGTCAAAGTTCATACCAACACCAATCACTTACAAATATGGCATTTACCCTTTTATCAACCTCAACAAACTTTATTCTCACCACAATTTACAAAGCTAATGTCCAAATATCACTCACACTAAAGACTCCGAGATCCACAGAATCACAAACCTAGCTCTGATATAATATAATACCCTTTTCAAAATTTTTGTTATATTATTTTTTATATTATAAAAATATTATTTTATTTTATTTTACCTTGGGTGTTTTAATTTTTTTAGGTTGTTAGATGAATCTGTGAAAAGGACTAAATTGTAAAACTAAATTTTGGATGATTTTGGTAATAAGGACTTATTTGAATAGTAAAACACTTTTAGGGGTCGTAGTGTAATTTACCAAATTTTAACCTTATTATAATACATTTTTTCTCTCTAACTAGAAAGAAAAAAAATAATAAACAGTTTCAAAAGAAAAGGGAAAAGTAAAAATCGATGGAGACTTTCATACTGAAATTCAAAGGTTGTATATGAAGTTTTAAGGTAAGATTAAACTTCATCTTTCATGAAATTTTAATATTTTGTTAGCTTTCTTCATAACACACTTTAGGGTTCAAACTTTTTAGTTTTCTAACAATCTTCTGGTGGTTTTTCAGTGGCATATTTAGTACCCATAGAAAGGCCTCTTCAAGACATTTTTCAATGGATTTTGTAGCTCCTCATTTGGTTGTGTATTTTATAAGTTATGAATTTGTAAAGTTAAAGAAAATAGTTATTTGACAATTTTTATGGCCTAACTTTAGGTTGTCAAAACTCCACTTTCTTATAAGCTTTTTGGTGATTCTTTAGGGGTTTTGCTAGTATGAAATGTGATCTTGATTTTGGTATAAGTGGCTTGGTCAAAGGGTTTTGTACTAAAAGAATTGAATCTTTGAAGATAGCTAAATAGTTTTGAAAACCAAAAATTCTAGACATTTTTGTGATGATTTTCAAACTTTAGGCTTTTGAAACTTATGATTTCTAAAGTCTTTTTAAGTGAAACACATTCTAAGTTATAGTATGAGCTATGAACTTTGAATTAGTATTGGTTTCACCTCTGGATTTGATATAATATATTAGACATAAGTGCTCAAAATAGAGTAAATGATTGAAAATCTAGAATTTCAACAACTTATAAAAATTAGTTTTAAATTATTTTGAAAATTATTTTTGCCTAATAATTGATTTAATTTGTTATAAATAGTATAAATTTTATTCAATTTTTGCATAAGTTAATATATTTTGTAAATTTATTTTTGAGTTGCCAATTTATTAAAAAAGTTTTGATTTTTCTTATGAAGTTTTACAAAGCTAAATTTAAAGTCATGCCATAATTTATCCCATCTATATACTGTGTTCAATATTCATAAAATAAAATCCTATTTACTTAGAAAAACTATTTTTAGAATTAATTTTAATTAATGAAAAAGGTTGCTACATCTTAAATACCTTAAAATGTCCATCGAAAAAGCCACATCATTATTTTGATAATAGATAAGGTCTACTTTATGGCACTGAATATTGTTAGATTAATAGGTTATGAGTGGTTCTGAATGCTTTGTTCTTTGGCTTTGGTCTTTAATAAGTTCAAGTAAGTAACTTGTTATCGCTTCGATCTTTTTGTCTCTAAAAATCAGCCTCGGTATATTTAGAGTTGATATATATATATATATAACGTATATTATTTTGTCCATTTGTTTTGTAAATTAGGTTGAGCATGCAAAATGTGTATATATATATATATGACTTATTTATTGTGAATTTAGATATGATTTTATTATTTATTTGATCTTCGAATATGATTTTATAATAATATATTGATATATCCATTGATTTTCTAAATACGAAATTTTGCTTTGAAATGACATGTGAAATTTGTTAAGTATGAATTATATTTAAAAAGTGTATGAATATTGATTTTGTCTATGTTGGGTAATCTAAAAATATGTTTTGATTTTGTCTCCTAATATGGCTATATTTTGAGCCTACCAATGAGGGTTAATTATTTGCCATGTCGAAATATGCTTTGTGATATAGATATCGATTTTGAACTGTGTCATCTATTAAAAATAGTGGTTTTTGTTCACCATATCACCGGTGATATACTTCTATCCCATTACACTAAAAATGGTCATTGTGACTTTTGTTCTGTCTTTTTACACTAACAGGTCAATTATGATTGTCAGTGTAATGATCTAGTTACTTCTGATATATTTTTGTCCCATTGCACTAAAAAGGTAATTCTGATTCTAACTTATATCACAGAGGTTAAGTGTGGTCATATAATGCTACAGAGACTAATAAAATTATAATTTTGTGATAACTTATTCCACTTTATAATCTAAGAATATGATTTTGAGAATATGGTTTATAAAAATATTTTTGTGAATACAAAATTACATAAAATATTTACAAATCATTAGTTATTGTTTTGGCCTATATGTTTTGTGGCATGCTTAATCCAACTGAGAGAATGTCGGTTACTTGTTGAGTTGTTTTATTCATTCTTTCAATTTTTCTTACTTTCATATTTCGATATTTGCATCTTTTAAACTTAGTTTTGACAAGTAATTATGTTGCAAGATTTCATCTATCTTTTGTCATCTTATAACTTGTAATGTGAGTACCTTGATACAATAAAATTGAAATATTGTTGTATTTTTTAATTAAGTGTAACATGTAAATTTAGAGACTTAGTTTTGTAAACTAAAATTTTGAAGACCCTTTGGAGTTTGATTTTGAATTAGTAGGATATTTTGGAGTTTGATTAGTATGATATATGTTGCCTTACGTGCTTGTGGGATTTTTCTCACAAGTATATGGTGTTATTACATCCTAAATCTTTAGGTTTAGGATGTGACAGATTACTAGTATCATAATGGTTGCTAATCGGATGGAGCTAAGTGTTACATCATCGAAGCCACCTCTAAAATTCTAACATCTGATATGATTTTGATTTTATGTGTAAAGTCTTGTGGTTCTGTTTGTACTTTGTGTTGAACTTGATGGGGACGTCAAGCTTTAACGGGCGGAGTTTGTGACACCTCAATCTTAAATTAAAAAATTCTGAAAATCTGTTATAATATATAAGTAGAGGTTTAAACCTAACTTTGTAAGGCACCTTTTGTGGGATAAAAATTGTGAAACCTTTAAGTTAAAATAAACAATACTTCACAAGTTGGATGTGGATTTCCACACTAACTATACTAAAAAGATTATGTTTCACATGTTTTGTTTTCTAGCTTCCTAAAGGTTTGTTTTTGCTTTTTCCCTTCAATTTTGTCTCTAATTTTATATCTAACAAAGTTTTACAAATATATTTTGTCTAAATCAGCATGAAATGGTATGCTAAAGGTTTTAAGTTTTCTATATAACTTTGTATCTATATTGTATTCTTTGGACAACTTTACCTATTCTTTCATAGTTGATTCATTTCATTGGCCACAATGGGCAACTTACAAAGAAAATGAAGTTATTCGAGGTTTTACAGGGCCTAATTTAATAATCTTGTTTTTGAGGTAGTGGCTTCCGTTGTCCAAATTAACAAAGATAAGTAATATACATTCATGTTCCAACTCTTTTTTTCGGTATATTGCATTTTAATAATTTATGAATGCACTATGGTAGTTTTGAAAGCAAAAAATAGATTGCACAATATAATTCCTTGGTTTTTTAATAATTCATGACTGCACTTTGATATATGTCATACAAAAATTTTGCATATTGATAGCTAAGAATTGTGCCAGTGACAGCAATTTTGTGGAAATCAGCATTTTTGCTTGAGTATTTCTTTCTTAATCATTCATCCTTAGTTACATTTAACATAAACAATTTTTTTTTTGAAATGTTACATTTGTTCTTATCTTTCTGCATTTAAATGAGATCATGAATATCGGCATAATGATATCTCCTTAAAGATTTAAATATTGTGTAATTTGTTAATGATTACATTTTTAGTACAAAATGGATTGTGATTTTATAACGAATCATCATATTATTTTTTTATTATATTTACTTACTTAATAATGTTACATTTCATATCAAACATGTATATCATATTTTTTGAAAAACTCCCGTAACGTAGTGCGGGTTGAATGAACTCGTTTTAAACATTATTCCATTATTCAAATAGAGCTGCATTATAATTTAGATTAGGGTTTTTTGAAATGGTTCTTAATTTATTATTTGGTAATGTCTGTAACTCTACGTGAATAGACGACTAATATTATTTTCACTTTTACCTGTTGCTTTGAGGAAATCCTTCAAGCACAATAAGCAACTAGGTGGCAATCATTTTTCATTAATATATTCTTCTATTCAACATGATGTACATCCTGTTTAATGTCTTTGTGATATGAAGATGTTTCCAATCTCAAACCAGACAATGTTTTCTTTTGTGAACAACCATTCATGAAGAAACCACAATTATGTGAAAGAATTCCAATGATAGCTCCACATTCAATTATTCCCGGCCTTGGTTCTGTTGGTGGAAACATTGAAACAAGGTAAACTTAAAGATTTTTTTATTTGAGTTTAGTTATTTTAGCCAAAATGTTGATAATAGGATATTAAATCTTGTTGGGAATTTTTTACCTTTTAGTCATTTCCAAAAGATTCATTTCTTCTTAATGGATTTTGCATTGTCTTTTTTTATAAGAAACTTCATATTATTCTCTTTATGTAGATGAAAATGTATTATATTTATATATATATATATATATATATATATATTTTAAATTAATTTAGTTTTAATTATTTATTTTTTATATATATTTTAAAATTTTAATTATATTAAATAAAAAAATCTGTAACGAAATTCGAGCATCATACTAATATTTTTTTTTTTAGTAATAAATGACGCCAGACGTAGTCGATACAAGTTTTCTAGTGCTGTTGAAAATGTAAGATTAACATGTAACTTTTGAAATTATATTATAGACATTAAAGCGATATTTGGCCAAAAATCCTAAATTTACTATTTTAAAAAACAAAACCGTGCGTTCAGAAAATAATTGTGTCCTCCTTTCTTCATGACCAAACTTGCAAGCTCCAATTCCCAAAGGATAGTCCTACGCTCACACAAGATCCCATAACCGGAATCGTTTATATGAGTCGGTTGACTCGCCCATTCAACCCAGTCAGCTCGGTTGAGACACTCCGGTCTCTCTTACTCCAAGCCTCTTTTACTAAATTCCCTCCCCGTTTCTCCCAGACAATCTGGTCTCTTCCCAATTTCAAACGGTTCACACCCCTCAAACCCCTAGAATTTTCCTCTTTTTCCACCATTGCCAACCGTCCCAATTACAGACCGAAACGGTGGCAATGGAACCGAAACGGACGGAATCAGATCCCCCGAGCGGCGATGATTTCGTCCGCATAGAAAGCCCTTACCGTAATGTCGTGGACATATTAAGCGATAGCATCGTGAAAGTTGAAGAGGAAGAAGAAGAGGAGATGCAAAAAGAGGATTACAATAACAACAACGACGTCGACGTTTCGAGGAACGAAAGATCTGATTCTTCCGAGAGAAGGCATGTAGGCTTCCCGAGGAGCTTTCAAGGAGCATGATGGTTCTCTCGTGCGAATCTTCCGCCGAGGGCGGCAATTGCGATGTTTACTTGGTTGGGACTGAGCATGTTTCTCAGGCACGTTCTGTTTTCGGTTTGGTTAACAAGAAAATGTTGGAAATTGATAGAATTTAAAATTCAAGATTTTTTTTGCCTTTTTTTTTTTTTTGGTTCGAGCTTAAAAAGAAAAGGAAAATCTTTAAATTAACTTATTCTCAGATGAGCAATGAGTATTGCAGAACGAGATTGATATTTACTTTACTGTGGTGTTACAGGAATCATGCAGAGAAGTTGAAGCTGTAATCAGTTATTTGAAACCACAGGTGCTTCTCTTCTGAAACTAATAACTAACCCTTGATTCATGAATGGATCATTTAGCAGGTTAGCTGCCTGCTTTTATATTGTTTGAGGACTTGTAATTCACCTCAGCAAATTCACTCGAACTTTGAAGTTCATATGCATTTTTAATTGTTTTCCTACAGGTTGTTTTCTTGGAGTTATGCTCAAGTCGAGTCGCGGTGCTTACTCCCCAAAATTTAAAGGTTTGTTCTTAGATGTTGTTCTTTTGTAGGCTTTTGTTTTGATTGCATAATTGTTTGGCTGGCGTTGCGTCATTTATAGGCTTTAGTATTTGGCCCCTAATTTTTCATCTTCCAACTTAAATCTACGAGGTACCAAGCATGGGAGAAATGGTAGATATGTGGAAAAAAAAGCATAACATGTTTGGTATCCTTTACAGCTGGTTTCTTGCCAAGGTACATATCTTTTAGTTGTACCTTTATCCTAACTTCACCATCAAATAAGCAAATTTATGTGTCCTAAATCATTCCTCAATACTGAAAGGTTGCTAGTAGGCTTGAAGCTTTCCCTGGGTCTGAATTTCGTGTGGCTTATGAAGAAGCTATGAAGTACGTGGCAAGGTGATTCTTGGTGATCGTCCTGTACAGGTAAGATATTTCACTGGCTGCTGGATTGCATTAAAAATTACTAATATTATTGTCTACACTTTTTGGAAAACTCAATTACAACAAAATAGCAATTGTTAAGGGGAAAATTGTTAAGAAGGTGCTCATGTTATTTATATGTGTTTCTTAATGAAATTATTGAAGTTGGATCTGTGATTCTCAGCTAATTGTTTCAAAAAACTTTTAAATGCCTATTGTTAATTGCATTATAATGTGCATAAGCCTTACAGCAGTGCTGAATATGGTGTCTTGCTGGGGTGCGTATATAGCAGTGCTCCTCTTCTCTCAACAGTTTGTACTTCATTGCATTTTATAGTCTGTTATTTTTAATCTTGGCCTGCAAGTATTTTCAAAGATTTGATTGGATGAAACAGATTACATTGCGGAGAACCTGGGTGAAAATGCCACTTTGGCATAAGACTAAATTATTTTATTCTTTACTTTTAAAAGCGGTCTTCTTGCCAAGCGCTGAAGATCTTAACAAAATGGTGAGCTTTCTTATTCTCTTATTTCATCATCAGTCAATTTGCTTTCTTTACATTTTCATATTTTAAAACACTTACAGAGTTTTGAAAGAACTCATTATGATGCTAAAATGTATTGTATATGCAGCTGAAGGACATGGATGATTTTGACATGCTGACTCTTGTGATTCAAGAAATGAGCAAGGAGTTCCCAACACTAATGGAAGCCCTTGTACATGAGCGGGACCAGTTACTGTTCTTTTGCTCTTTAAATGCTTATCAGATTACTAGTATTAGTATATGGGACTCGATCTTGACTGCAAAATAAATTCTATGGTTTTCTTCTCTCTTTAAAATTTATTTAGGTCTGCAGGTATATTTTTTTCCATAGCCTTGCTTGTGATTTGTTGCACAAGCCTTTTTTATTGTTGTTTGAAGCACACATTTTATACTTGTCTTGATTTTTGTGGTTAATCCTCTAAAACTTGCGCACTGCATTCAGGTTCATGTCGTCTACATTACTAAGAATTGCGAGTGAGCATAGTTCAGTTGTTGCAGTCGTTGGTAAGGGGCACTTGCAAGGAATTAGGAAATATTGGAAGCAACCTGTTTCGATAAATGATCTCATGACAATTCCTTCTCAGAAACCGACAGTTTCAACCGGCAAAATTCTTGCAACTCTCGGCATTGCCGCTGCCAGTGTGGCTATCATTTCGGGCATCTATCTTGCAAGCAAGAAGTAATCCATTACTAGCATTTTTGATTGAGCAAAACTCCAAAATTGCGGTCTTTGTAGATTTTGGTGAAAAAGCCTTCCTAAGCTGACGAAACTAATAACCAGTTTCTTTCACATTTAAAATTGGAACCAACTTTTGACAAAAACAAATACTAGTTTTTTTTGCTAGCAATTATTAGTAATTGTGTTAAAAAGTTATTTTATCATTATGTATCCTTGTTTATGATCATAAATTTCTTTCAGTTTTTCATTTTATCATTAGTAATTACTATCACCTTTTTTTTTTCTTTTGAGAAGTTATAACACTTAATTATATATTAAAAATTTTGTGGTTTAGTTTTAAAATTTTGTATGTTAACAGCCAGAGAACTTTGAACAGAAAGAAAAAACTATTTTAAAGCTGTTCTGTTACCTCGGATTGTTATTAAAAATTTTTATTAATTGGTTTAAGTGGCATGGATTAAAATTCGTTGAAGTTGTGAGAATATAATTTTTTGTATGAATTTTTGAGATTCGGGCATAAGTATATCAGCGTAGACCAGTTAGAGGATGAGATGCAGCGAGTAAAGCAGACTGGGGATAAAATGTAGCAACTAAAATTAAAGAATCAGCTTTAAAAAATTAAAAATTTTATTGTAGATAATGAGAAATTTTCAATTCTATAATTATCATTTTGGTGCCAAACTCCAATAGAACTACTGAAATGAACCCAAGGTATTTGGGCTGGTACGAACGGCATAACCTTTCTCCCATTTCTCTGTGATTAACACATAAGTTTGTTGGATCCAAGAAAGCCCAAAATCCCAAAACATTGTAAAATAAGTTTCTACTACTTTTCTACTGAACCCAACAGCTACTAAACCGACAACAAAAATGATCTCTTGCTTAATTCAGATGGCCGTCTTTGTTCTTATTAAATGAAACTGGCTCTTTCCATTTCCATCTCTTGTAGTTCTCACCGCTTATCACTTTACTTTCTTTAATGTACTTCAAGCGCAAAAGGAAACCCGTAATCAATTCTACCTCTACTTGTAATCCTTTACCGAAGAAAATGCTCAAAATTCTCAATTTAACTCCCTCGCGGATCAAAGATCTTCTTTTGATGTTTTCCCTTTCCATTTCCATTTTTCTCGTCTTCCGCCACCCACAAGCGCCTCTCCCACTCGCCATTACCACCCCATCCCCATCCCCCACGCTCCGCAAACACCTCCTCTTCTCCATTGCTTCCTCCTCCAACTCTTTCCCCCTCCGAAGCTCGTATATTCGTCTCTGGTACACTCCACTCTACACGCGCGCTATCGCCTTCCTCGACCAACCCGTCTCTTCTTCGGTCGACCCCACTCTCCCTCCCATTATTGTGTCCGGCGACACCAAATCCTTCCCTTACACCTTCAAGGGTGGTCTTCGTTCAGCTATACGTGTGGCGCGTGTAGTCAAAGAAGCGGTTGACCGCAACGAAACGGGAATCAGGTGGTTAGTGTTTGGGGACGATGACACTGTTTTTATCGTTGACAATTTGGTTAAAGTGCTTTCAAAATACGATCACGACAAGTGGTATTACGTTGGGAGCAATTCGGAGAGTTACGAGCAAAATTTGAAGTACTCTTTTGACATGGCGTTTGGTGGTGGAGGGTTCGCTATCAGTTATTCATTGGGAAAGGTTGTAAGTAGGGTTTTGGACTCTTGCTTGATGAGGTATGCTCACTTGTACGGAAGCGATGCTAGGATTTGGTCTTGTTTGGCTGAGCTTGGCGTGAGTTTGACTCATGAATCTGGTTTCCATCAGGTAATTAATACATTCTTTTTAAAGATTTTTAAGAGGTTTATCTTTGCATTTCTGTTATTGTCTTATAGTTAGATAGATGGAACAGTTTGCTTGAAAAAGAACTTAAGTGTTGCTTTGTTATCAGTAAATCTCAATTCACACAACAAAAAGAATCTCTTTTTGTTAAATAAAGTTTTCCAAGGAAATAGTTAATATCATTGGTGGTGGGTTTTATTGGTTTTCTTCCATAGTATATGTTACTTTTCAATGAATTTGACAACAAATATGGCCTTAACGATGGTGATTAAATCACGCCTCAAGGCCACAATTTCTTCTATTTTATTTCCTAAAAAGTAAAGCCCCCACCAGCCTTACTAATTTGAGTCGCTCTGTTGGTGAGTTCTATTTAAGCCATTTCTTGTTGCTTGAGCTGCTATGGATGCCCTTCTTTGCTAACATGATACATCATTGTGGGCCTGTAGGACTATTTATTACCTTACTTGGGCACGTAAAGGATAGTGAAAAGGAAATCTCTTCTGGTTATTTCTCAAGAGGCTTAAGACTTGACTGGTTTTGTTGGTTTTGAGTTTTGACTAGTTTTAAGCTGTTTAGGTCCTGTCCATGGATTTAGTAAGAGGCTGCTGCTTGATCGATTTTTGCTTGAATGCTCTGAAAATTAGTCATTCAGTTTTAAAAGAAAATTTTAGCTTATTTATTTATTTGTTTTCTCCAGGTTGACATGCGGGGTAATTTTTTTGGAATGCTTGCTGCACATCCGTTGTCACCTCTGTTGTCCCTCCATCACTTGGATGCTTTGGAGCCAATCTTCCCAAATATGAGCAAGACTCATGCTTTGGAGCACTTCTTTAAAGCTGTGAATGTTGATTCTTCCAGGATTTTGCAGCAAACTGTCTGCTATGATCATTTCAATTCGTTGACTGTTTCAGTTGCATGGGGGTATGCTATTCAGGTTTATGAGGGCAACCAACTCCTTCCAGATCTCCTTTCACTACAGAAAACTTTTTCACCATGGAAGAGAGGCGCGAATGTTGCGGCTCACTTTATGTTCAACACAAGAGAATTTCCTAGAGATTCATGTAGAAGACCCTTAGTATTTTTTCTAGATAGCGTTCTATCAGACAAAAATGTTGTCTGGAGCAATTATACCAGGCATTCTGATGGAGATTGCCTCAGAGCTAATGCAATAAAGAACCTCAAAGATGTCAAAGTGGTATCGCAGAAGCTTGAGCTTGATGCTGAGCAGGTATGAATCAACTGATGTTTGACCTTTGAAAATTCTAACTTTTAACCATATTATCGTATTGTCAAATATTCTTGTTGCTGAAATTATTGTCATTTACAAATTTATCCTCTTCTGTTTCAGATGATGGCTCCTCGTCGGCAGTGCTGTGAGATTTTGCCTTCATATAATGAATCAATGGTTATCAAAATTAGAAAATGTGGAGTTGATGAATTGATTTCCATGAATGTCTAGCACTTCTACCAGGATGACTTTTGATGTGTGAAAACTGAAACAGACACAAAGCATGCGGAACTTCGATCAACTTTTGCTCACTTCATGCTGTAAACTTGAGGTATTTTCTTGTTGCTTCAGATGTGAGTTTGTTGAAATGAATGGCTTTAATCTAACCTCCTTGTTCTGCAAATTGTATTTCGTGCAGTGTTCTCCATTTAGCAGCAAAAGGCTTAGCTGTTCTTGTTGGTACATGTAGAAAATGCCCTTTTCCATTTTAAATATAATCATCGCATGCAAGTTCTGCTTTTGTTTTTACTTGAAAGCCTATTGTTTCAGCAGGTGAAATCTTTTAGATTCTTAGTAAAGTATAAGTATTTTGTAGGGTTGAGATCTTTAAGCTTTGTTCTTTTTTGTCTTTCTTGAGGTTCATTTGATTGGTGTTTTTGCTTTTTATTTTTTGTTATTTATCATTGATTTTCAGTTTTTTTTTTTTTTTTTTCTGTTTTTCACTTTCTTTTGTGAAGTTTCTAATCTACCATCGAATCCCTTACCTTAATAATTACCTGGTTGAAGGGGACATTATGCACACAAGCTCCTTCGAACATGCAACCCCCAACTGTTCCAAAGGTCAGTTGGCTTCTTTTTGTCACTTTCTATTGAAAAAGTAGAAGCACCAATCAAACAAACCTTACTAAATTAGTTGCATTTTCTAATAATTGCGATACCTTATCTTCAGGGGAGGAAACTTATGACTAAAGAGGTCTTAGATCATTGGTTTTAGCATTGAGTGACCATGGCGTTAAGTACTGAATATTGGAATGACCTTTGATCAAATGGAAGCTGCTTCGACAAACTCACCTTTTAAGATTTGGTAAATGGTAACCGAGGATTTTGGCTGCTTTTGGTAAATTGATTGGCCTAATATTACATTTGGAATTTGATTGAAGGAGGTATGTGAAGAAAGATAATAAGAATAATATTTGATTGAAGGAGGTGTAGAAAAATTCGATGCTGATTACCATGTAGCTGTATCATCCTGTATGATATCATCTTTTGAAATAAATACAGTTTTAATGAAATAAATACAGTTGCTGCCATGTACCTGATTTTATTCTTAATGTCTCTTCACTCTTGTTTCTTTGGAGTCTGGACCTGCTTAACAATTTCCATCACGTTCTATGGTTTTTTCTTTCTTTTTTTTTAAATCCTTTGTGCTTTTAAACCGACAAGTATGTTCAAACGACATTTGCACCCTTGGTTTGCTTTCGGAATGTCAAGAAGCATGATGATAAGGGGTATTAAAAAAGGATTTGCTCCATCAGTCTGGACAACTTTTAAGAAAGGTTTTATTTTGGATTTAAAAAAAAGAACTCTCAAAAATTTTGTGCAACGGACGACAAGTTAAAAGTTGAAAAAGAAAAGCTAAAAAAGAGAAAGAAACCAACATGAACAGCAAAAAAAATGATATGAGATGATTATTTTAGGTTTGTATTTGTTTAGGGGAATTGCCAAGGGCAACCGATTCCACCATCGCCATTCAGCATCCGTTTTAATAGGAAATCACGTTATTATATTTTTTCAATTGAAAACCGGAAACTTATAATAAAAAGTTACATAATTCTATGGTTCCACACTATCTCAAGTAACAAAAGTGACTGATGACCCTAGCCAAAAGAAAATAAACCATATTTCATTGTGTTGACGGTGGCTAAAAAGGACGTAATAGTAAAATCAAGTATAATATTTTTAAATATTTCAAAATTTTCTAATGTCACTATATTTATAAAATTTAATTACAAAGTTACTAATAATTAATATAACATATTTTTTAGTACAATAAAATAAGAATTTCTTGGGTTACATAAAATTAGTTATATTTTGAATAATATAATTTAAGAGTCAATGATTGTCTATTTTGCTTTTTTTTTTTTTTGTATAATTAGCATGTTTTAATATTATACATAATTTTAAGACTAAAATTAAAAAAATATATATTTTAGACAAATTCTCACACAAAACTTACATACAAACATAATAATATATACTTGTTATGCAAAAACAAAAATTCGACTTGAATTATTGGTTATTGAACAAGATCATAATTTAAAAATTATTTGTTTCACTAAATAAGCCTTTCACACTAAATACAAAATTTCCTCATTAAAAATTATTTAATGATTGCTTGATTACTTTCTTTACTTTTGTTAAAGCCCTTTTGTCTTTAATGTTGTGAAAAGAAATAAATTTTTTTCTAACTTTTCTTAATGGTTGAACGTTTTATGCATTATCTAAAAAAAATTGGGCCCTTTCATTTTTTTGGTTTGTAAATTGCCTATGGTAGTTTTTTCATCCAAGCAAAACTATTCAAGGCAGTTGTTATTTATAAGGTTAAACCAATTATGGAAGGTTATGTTAACATCTCACACACACCAAATGGGTTTTAAACTTTCATGATCTCAAGAACATTGTCTATGTTCTTTGCATTAGGTTCATATAAGAAAATAAACCGTCCAACCAACTACTTAAAGAGTTCAGTTGCTATATGACTATCAGGTGCATATAGCAGCTCATAATCACAAACAGTCATTTATACAATTGTTAAGTATGTATAGTAACTCTCAAGTTCAAGTAAAATAAGTATATAGCATCCTAGACCCATTCAATCATATTTCAAGTTTCTTACAATTTCTTTTATATCATATTGCAATATATACTTATGTATTCACAATTATATTCGACCTTTCAAACATAATTAGTTAACCTATGAATACAACCAAATGTGACACCAAAATGATTTTTTCTTCTAGAATTTCTCCATTTCAATTTAATTGCTATTTAGATATGTCCCATTAGATTGAATCATCTATGACCATTGACAATAATCCAAGATAACTAACATTGAACTAAAACTTTAAAAAAACAGTCAAAAGTTATTAAAGGTACTAAATATAAGATACTCTGATCTTAATGGTCTCACACAACAAGAAGTAAAGATCTATTCTTTTGTTACCTTTAATGGTTGAACAATGCACATGTGATATGAAACACATGCTATGATATTACTCTATTTGTTTTTAGGGAGTGTATATCTTTTTTTATTTATATGTCAATATCATATAAGTGATAGTTCAGATACTCTTAGTATCTAACTTGAATCCACAACTCTACTTGATTTTACATAATTAACATGATTTTCACTTGGCATGTTAAAATAGATAAAGTGAGTTATGGGTTTATTCACTGTCAGTCACAAATCTCAATATCAAGTGACCTTATTTTGATCTCTTATCAAGGCAATTCTTTTGTTAAGCTTAGGTTCTCGATCCATAGCTTAAAATTAATCTCATCTCAATGGTGTCAAACCATTAAAATGATTACCTGGGTGAAAAGGCCAATCATCTGTCCAACATACTTTTTGAATCATAATGTATATGTACATATATATGTGTGTGTGTGTGCATCTTAAAATAAAGTACTAAACTTTAATGGCATTAATTGTATTCAATATAAGTAAACTCAAATAGAAAATATCAAACATTGTTTATATAGAATTGTTCAATCAATATATGTGTTAAACATGCACACAATCCTAGAAATGTCATGTGGCTGTTAAACACATCTCTAGGTATAGGCTTAGTAAATGGATTTGCAATCAACTTATGCGTAAAAATGTACTACTATTGATTTTCTTTTATGCAACCACGTCTCTTATATAGTTATACTTAGTATCTATATGTTTGGTCTTAAAATGATATTTGAAATCCTATATGAGTGCGATTGTAGCATGACTATGGTAATTCACCAAAATTGAGTTTGACTTATCTTTTTTAAATCCTAAATGATTCAAGAATCTCTTAAGCTAAACAGATTCTTGTACTATAACTGAAAATGCTACAAATTTAACTTTCATTGTGTATAGTGCTATACAAGTCTATTTCTTATCACTCCACAAAATAGTCTCACTATTCAGTAAGAAAATGTAGCCAGAGGTAGATTTTTTTTATCTAAATCTCCTACTCAATCGACGTTCGTATAGCTAAATAAATGCAGATCACTTTTTTTATAGCACAACGAATAAACCACAGTGCCTTTTAAATATCTCAATATCTTTTTAATGGCTTACCAATAAGGTTGACCTAGATTAGATTAGTATCTGCTTACTATGCCTACAGCATAGCATATATCTAATTTTGTGCACATCATAGCATACATAAGGCTTCTAACAACACTATAGTAAGAAACTCTTACCATTTGGTTTTTTTTTTTTTTTATGAAGTCTTAAGGCACTTTCTTTGGCTAAGGCTTTTCATCTTTCACTGTAAGAGTATTTATTTGCTTGCAGTCTTGCATATTAAATCATTTCAAAACTTTTTTAATGTATTGCTCTTGTGAAAGAGCTAACAATTTCTTGGAATGATCTTTTATAATTTTTACACCAAGTATGTAAGTTGTTTTGCCAATGTCTTTCATTTCAAAATTTAAGGATAATTAGGTTTTCACCTTAGTGACATATTTTTTATTGTTGCCAGCCAATAGCATGTCATCTCCATAAAGTGACAAGATCACAAATTTATCTTTGTCTCTTTTGATATACACACAGTGATCCTCATCAATCATGATAAAATTATATGAAATTATCACTTGATGAAATCTAATATACCACTATCTAAAAGATTGTTTAAGGTCGAAAATTGATTTTAACAACTTACATACTTTGTGCACTTGACCTTTGTCAATGAAACTTATAAGTTGTTCTATATAAATTTTCTCTACCAATTCTTCATTTAAAAAAGCAGTTTTCACATCTATTTAATGAAACTCTAAATTTAAATTGGCTAGAATGGCTAGAATTAAGCATATTAAGGTAAATCTCATAACAAGAGAAAAAGTTTTTCCATAATTAATTCTTTCTTGTTGAATATACCCCTTGCTACCAGATAGGCTTTATATGTTTCAATTGTCCCATCTAACTTACACTTAATCTTAAAAAATCCATTTGTTCCCAATCGCTTTACATCGTTTAAAAAGATCAACCAATTCTCAAACACGATTTGATCTCATAGACTATATCTAGTATTCCATTGCTTTTATCTATTTTTCATTTTATGAAAAATGAAAGAGCTTCTTTAACATTTCTTAACTTTTCGTTATCTTGCGGGTAATCAAGAACACTTTCCCTTCTATGTCAAAATGATGTTAGGGAATATTTTCACAATTACTTCACCTGACTTGTGATTTTTAAGAAACTAATTCACCAAATTTATCATCTTTAGTCATAATCCCACTTGAATAATATATTGTTGGTTCTTATCAGGAACATACATTAATTGATTTGGAACTAACAAATTATTTTCTTCTTTAATCCCGTAAAAAGCTATTTCCTTATCTTTCTCAATTCTTTTTGGAATTCAATTTTCAAAAAGGTGATATCCCGATTCAGATTCAATTACACTCTCACTTGACTATTCACCTATGAATATGTATCCCTTTGAATGCTTGAAATATCTTATAAATATATTTTTTTTGCCTCAAAGACCTAGCTTACCATGTGGATGAGCAGTCTCGTGTACATAAACAGCACAACCCTAAAGTCTCAAATTACTGAGTTTAGTTTTTCTCCCAATCCATAATTCATAAGAGATGCACATAAGCAATTTGAAAGGTACTCTATTGAGTATATAGATAGTAGTTAACAATGCATCATCCCAAAAGGTGATTGGTAAATTTGTTTGGGCCATCATAGATCTCACCATTTCCATAAAAGTCATATTTCTTCTCTCTATAATACCATTTTGTTATGGAGCCCTAAGAATGGTCAACTGCCTATCAATACCCTTTTCATCACATAATTTTTGAACTAACTAGACAAATACTCATGTCTTTGATCCATTCTTAATACTTTAATATTTCTGTCTAATTGATTCTCTACCAAAGTCACATACTTTTCAAAGCACTCTAATGTTTCAAACTTGTGAAAAATCAAATAGATGAACCTAAAGCATGTAAAATCATCAATGAATGTGATGAAATACTGACCTTCTTTTCATGACCTAATATTCATTGGGCCATAAATGTCGAAATATATTAATTACAATGGAACTTTAGCTCTAGTTCCTTTACCAAATGGTTTTCTTTTTTTTTTTTTTTTGTTAGACAACTTTCACATTATGGTAAATTAACTTTCTTAATAGGGTCTATTAATCCCTTTTTTGCTAATTTATCCATTCTTTGTTAGCTTACATAGCCAAGTCTAGCATGCCAAATATTCTATCAATATTCACATTAGAATTAA